TATGGTTCATTAAAAAGATTTTGAAGAGAATAAAATGGGGTCGACACTTGGGGGTACAAGGTGAATCCATGGATGATTAACATTTTAATCATTTTTTCTTTATATTTTTTGGGCTTCTCCAAGGTTTTCTATTTTTAAGGCTAATATGGGTAGGGGTGTTCGTTTGGATGGATCGGTTTGATCCGATCCAATCAAGTGAATCCAAATTGATTTCGGTTTTCAAAACATGGATCCGAATAGTCCAAACTAAATTCAAATCCGATCCGATCCAATCCAAATACAATTCGGTTGGATCGGTTTTTATAATTCGGTTTTCAAAAACCGAAACATTTTAAAACGACATATAATTATAATATTACCCAACTTTACACAAGAAGCGAAAACAAATTATTTAGATGTGATTTGAAATTTATAAACAATTACTAAGAAGATATATTATAGTTAAATATTTTATAGATACAAAACTTTTGAGAGAGAAAATGCATATTAATGTTTTTTTATCGGGTGAAACGTTTGAACCTATTGAAAAAAATAAATTACAAAATTAATAAATAACTATAGATATATATTATAAATAAATAAAGAATAAATGTTTATTCGGTTTTTTTGGACTACTCGGTTCTTATTTTTTAAACCAAAACCAATCCGAAATCCAAAATAATAATTCGGTTTTGTTGAAAACCAATCCAAAAATCCAAACCAAATAGTCCAATCCAAATTGTCCCATTGGACAATTCCGTTTTATCCTATAATGAACAACCCTAAATATGAGTTTTGTTTCTTCAGGCCATGGTGAGAAGAGAATCTATCAAGGGTGAATCCATGGTTCATTTAGGATGTCACGTGTATTTTCATAATAATTTATTTTGCTATACGAAGTATTAATTCAGATAGACTTAATATTTATTATTATCTGATTATTATAAATTTTAGTAATCATTTATTATTCTAACTTATAAATAATTACAGGATAATAACTTAAAAAGGTAATTTATTTTTTTATTTGTATACATTTTGTCACTGAATTTTTTTTTTCAATATTTTTCCATTGAACTTGTTTAACTGTTCAAAAAACATTCTTATGACATGATATAGTAGATTTTCCGGCATATTTGGCAGCTCCGAAGATCTTTGCAGCTCCGAACAGCTTCTCCGACGAGTCTCTGACCAACAATGCTTTTTACGATGCGTTTTAGGTCATCTTCTCCGGCCAACATGATTTTTCCGAAGACGTTCTCCATCTCCAAATTTTCAGAACCTTGTTCTTTAATTTTGTTTTTATCTTCAATCTGAAACATAAATCAAGTTGAAGCACAAATCTAATGGTTCAAAGATTTAAACAAACATAAACAAACCAAGATTTCGAGTTCATACATATTAATCGTTGCCCGATCTCCTCACCTTTCCCCTGTTGAAGAACACACAAACTTACCAGATGTTGCTTCGAGTTTCCCTTATATGTGGGTTGTTTGATGTAGACTGACAATGGGTCGACCTGGGTTGGGTTCGGGTTCAACCCATTTATTAATTAGGTTGAAGATTTCAACCCAACCCAACCTGTTTATTTAAATGAGTTGATCTTTTCAACCCAACCCAATCTTTTAGATAAATGGGTTGTCACTGGGTTGACTCATTTATGTATTTCTCAACCCAACCTATTGAATAAAAGGGTTAAACCCGGATTAACCCATTTAAATTAAAAAAAGTAAATAAATTAACCAAAGATTACACCATTTAAATTAGTTCCAAACTTAAATAAAATTTCAAAGTATGACAAAAACTCAATTCCAGTTCATAAATACAAATAAATGTTCAAATATCATTAAAAATATTTAATTTCAAAGTAATAACATTAAAAATACTAAATTTGGAAATGATTTTGGAGAGTGACTAGTGTTGTTGGAGCCAAGAAAAAAAATGGGAATTAGGATTACATTTTTTTTAAAGTATGAATAATAACAAAACATTATAATTTATGAATTAAAACTTAGATTAATACATTATATATTTTAATAATTATTAAAATAAATATATATAAAAGTTAAATGAGTTGGTGGGTTGAACGAGTTGATAATTTTTACCCAAGCCAACCTATTTAATTAAATGGGTTAGGCGAGTTGACCCATTCAACTTAAATGAATTGAAAATCTTAACCCAACCTGCTAATATTAGGTTGGGTTAGTAGGTTGGTTCAGTTTTTGTCGCCTCTAGTTTGATGGGAAGCAACAAGAAACACACACACACACTATGTGTGTATCGATCGATTGTAGGGAAAAAGAATAAGAAATAGAGGGTTGGAGAGGGAAACGCGAGAGATCAAAACAAGGGAGGGGAAACCAGAGATCTGAGAAAAAGGGAAGGGTTGTGACGAAAGAAGAAAACTATAGCACATCTGAAATTCTTTGTTACAAAAACCCGAGAACTCATATTTCGATTTTGAAATAGGGAGTGGATGTGAAGATGAACACAAAAACCATCAAAAACTCAAATCTCGCACCATCAAAAATCCCAAAAGCTCGATTTTTTGTATGAACTCGATTTCAGATTCAAGTTCATGTAGTGTGTCTGTGTTTAGATTTGAGTTGTGGGTTCATAAATCGAAACAAAATACACCATATTGTTCTTGTTCATACACATGAATTGTTGCCCATAAAAACTTTTTGCTAAAAAGATCATGTTTTGCCAGAAAAATCATGAACGTCGAAAACTCGCTAGAGAAGATGGTCGGAGTCCACCGAAGCTGTCAAATATGTCGGAAACCGGTTAAATCTACTATAGCAGGTCATAAGGATGTTTTTTGAACAGTTAAACAAGTTCAATGGGGAAATATGGATAAAAAAAAATCAAATGTTTAAATGTATACAAATCGAAAAATATATTACTTTTTTAAGTCATAATTATATTCATGTTAATATTTTATAAAAAGAATATTAATGATTAATAATCAGACAATTGTTGAAATATATAGAGTATATATTGATATGTCAATGTGTATATATATATATATATATATATATATATATATATATATATATATATATATATATATATATATATATATATATATATACACACTAAATTAATGTGAGTATAATCATAAGAGTTAGACGTGATAAACTTGAAATGAGTATGCGAGTATTCTCAATAGACAAGGCAAATCCTTTTTAGGCCTTGTTTCAAGGCTCAAGCCCATTCTGATATTCTGTCTATATTAATGTACTTTTAAAGTGAGTTTTTTACCAAACGGTAGCATGTAAGAAAAGTATTTACCATAATAGGGTGCTTTTAAATCTATTTACCATTTAATTGTATATTTTATTTTATTTTTAAATAAAACACACAAATAATTTTTAATCGTCTTTTGTGGTTCGTTTTTCTTGAAAACTATCAGCAATCCTTACCACCACCGTAAACTACTAAACTCCACTCCCTCTGGGGCATGGGTGCCTACACATGGATATTATCTTAAAAGCCTTCGCCATGCTTTAACGATTGAATTCTGACGATGGTTGGTTAACTAATTGGAGCAGACTTTCTTAGATCATGATAATTAAGATGATGAAGTTTACTTCACCATGAGGTTCATACATGTCTACTGGTTTTCTGCTTTCTTCCTCACAAGCACCACTAGTAATGGCTAGTCTACCTGATGAGGAGTGTCGGAGAACACCCATCACACAACCGCTACCTGCCACCATCAACTTTAAAGCACTGCTGACACAACGAGGCCGACCATCTACCTCCAACACGCCACCGACGATTCCGTTCATACCCCTCCGTATAGTTGGTGAAACACGCGTCCCCCTCCACATTCCTATTTATAACACACTGTTGAACGACCAATGTTTGAAACAATGCGAGAAGTGTTTGGAATATTATCGATGAACGTTGTGCATCTCCAACATTACACTTCGAATTTCCAAATTGATCTTGGTTGCTTTCATATTCCGGCGAGCAAATTCAAAGCAAAAAATTTGTCAACATATTCAAATCGATTTTGGTTGTTTTTATTTTCCTGCTGATAGTGTTTCTTCTTATTTTCTGGCTAGCAAGCAAACAAAAGAAGAAATATTTTCAATGTTTTGGGTTATTTTGCTTTTATCATTTTCCGGCGACAAACCAAACAAAGAGGAGGCAGCGAGGAGGCCTCTTAGGCACAACCCATAAAAGTCTAATTAATATTCTTTTATGTTTGGTATAAAAGAGATGGAATCGGCAGTTAAATTTAAATTTTACTATGATTTGGTAAATAAATCTAAAAGTACTATGGATATGTAAATATTTTTTAAAAACACAATGCCCTTGTACAAAACTCCTTTTAAAGTTTTCAATGTTTTTTATCTACTGTATTAAATTGTTCTTGTTGACCACGTATGTAATGTTAGGAATTAAAAAAGGACAATCGAAGGGTATGGTTTCATTAGGGCGCGTTTGGTAGGGGGTAATTAAGGCAAGAAAGGAATAAATCATTGGGATAATGTCATAAAAGCCTTAATTTTGCAAGAAAAAGTCGGTTTTACCCTCCGGCGGGTTTTTGGGTCATTAATGACGCATACTTATCTCAGTTTTTGCGTTCATGCCAAATATTCGGTTGCAAGAGGGTTTACCGGTTACCCCTTCACTTACCCCTCAACTGTAAAAGACTTTTCCCCCAGTTTCTTAACCAACGACGAAATTAACCCCGTTTGGTGAACGTTAGACATAGAGCTCCACACCCTCTCTCTGAAACGTCAACTCAATCTCAGTAAATCGTACTTTATTGAGAAAAATCTTGGACTTTTGGGAGGGAATCATCACGAAATTTGGGTATTTGAAGAGGATTAGGTCTACACTGTTGGTATTGTTGTTCAAGCAGGAAGCAAGTTGGGTGATAGTCACGTTGAGTTGTTGAACCAGTAAGTATCTCAAATCCATGATTAAAGCAGTTATCTACTTAAAATTCTTCGATTTTGTTTGTAAAATCTGTTTGATTTTGCAGGTAACTGTAAGGGCTTCATCAGATGACGTTTTTAAAAGAACTCTTTGCTAGTATATACGAGCCCTTCTTTGGACTAAATGAGATGGATTATGAGCTTCATGGTATTTATATGGATCATGAACCAGAACATGAGTTCGTGACTGCGCTTGATAAATGTAGGGACGTCTTTCTCAATGTTCTATTTAGTGATGAAAACTTAAGGAATTCAAGCATGGCTGATGAAATCAGAGCACAAGTTTATCATGCTAATGAATGACAAAGTGATGAAGAAGGTGAACAAGAGGCAGTGAAGAATAAGTACAGAATTCATGATCCAAACACACCAAGGGATAAGATGGAACCTAAGGTACGTGATATGTTTGAGTCTCCTGCACAACTTAAGTTTTGTATTCAAAATTATGGGGTGTCAAATGGATATCAGATATACTTTGAAAAATGTGATAAAACTAGAATAGTTCCAAGATGTGGGAAGAGGACAGAGATGAATGATTGTCCTTTCAGATTGTATGCTGGATGGATGTACAATGAAAAATCATTTCAAGTTAAAAATTTGGTTGGAGAGCATCGTTGCAGTAGGAAGTTCAAATTTGGAAGTCTTGTTTCCCCTAAATGGATAGGTAGGCATTACATTACTGAAATTGCAAACACACCTAAGATGAAACTTAGGGACATGATTGTTGATATCAAACAAAGGTTGAGATGTGTAGTATCCATTGGGCAAAAAAATGGGCCACTGAGTTGATTGAAGGAAAACTAACTGAACATTATGTTAGGGTATGAGATTATGCTGATGAATTATTAAGGTCCAACCTAGGTTCTGCATGCAAAATTAGTGTCACTGTCAGTCCAGATGGGAAGAACTACTTCCACAGATTTTACATAGATTTCAAAGCTCTAAGTGATGGATGGAAATTAAGGTGTAGAAGAGTAATTGGGTTGGATGGATGCTTCCTGAAAGGACAGGTGAAGGGTGAGTTGTTGACTGCCATTGGTAGAGATGCTAATAACTAGGTATATCCTATAGCATGGGTTGTTGTTGATGTTGAAAACAAGCCTAACTGGACTTGTTTTATTGAGCTTCTTAGAGATAGTCTAGACCTTCATGATGGCAGAGGATTGGTGGTGATATCTGACCAACATAAGGTTTGTTTTCAATACTCCATTTTATATAAATGTTAACACAATTTAAAAAGGATGCATATTAAGTTGAATGTTCTTGTCTTGTAGGGATTGGTTGAAGCTGTAAAAGATATACTCCCAAATGTTGAGCACATGCAATGTGCCAAGCATGTTTATGCCAATTCCAAGAAAGCATACACAGGGTTGGAGTTCAAGAAATTATTTTGGGCTGCATCAATGAGTTGCTGAAGAAGTTGAAGTGGTTGATGTTGGAAAAGAAGATGTTTTGCTTCCAAGGGTTGGTTTAGAGCTACACAAAGTACTTGATGAGGTTGAGCAGGGGCTGGATGAAATATTAGGGGAGGGTAGTTTTCAAAAACAATCACAAACCTATGATGCTACTCAATCAGATTATGGGGGTAATGATGAAGATGTAACCAATGTTGAGTTTAATGATGGAAAAGATGATGGTGTCCTTGTAGATAAGGTAAAGCTGGATGCTGAACAGATTACATTGATGTTGGAAGCAGGATATAACATGGAAGAAATTGAAGGTATGGAAGGGGTAGAACTAGAACTGGATGACATGCCACCCCTTGAGTTGGTAAGAAATTATTTTTTTGTAATTGTTTTTCATTATTTTTCTCCAATTTAAATTATTTATGTAATTATCAATATCAGGATATGGAAGATGTATTGGATCATCCATCTGATAATGATGATGATGCTATTATTAATGATGTTGATGGTGTTGTTGATGATGCTATTATTGAGGTTGATGATGGTGGTGAACAAGAAGAAGGAGGTGATGATGGTCACTTGGGTGATGATGAAGGTGAACAAGAAGAAGGAGGTGATGATGATCCATCTGATAATGATGATGATGCTATTATTAATGATGTTGATGGTGTTGTTGATGATGCTATTATTGAGGTTGATGATGGTGGTGAACAAGAAGAAGGAGGTGATGATGGTCACTTGGGTGATGATGAAGGTGAACAAGAAGAAGGAGGTGATGATGAAGGTCCTGACTGTTGGGATTTGAGCATTTTAACACTCCTATGGTGTACATGCAACCCTATAAACCTTGGATCTATGTTTTCTCTATTATACATGCAAATATTCAATACTCCAAGGTTTCATCCTTACTAGCATAATATGAAGTATATACAATACAAGAATCTAGTAGAATGACATACCTCTTTGTTGTAGCTTGATTCCATGGAGCTTAAGAGCCTAGTGCCCCAAGTGTGACACCTCAAATGGCTCACACAACACCACCAACAACTTGGAATAACTTGAGAGAAAAGTTCTTATGCTCAAAATCGGCTATCCCTCTCATATGAATTCATAGGTCCGATTTCTTGACCTATGGGGTCTTTATATATTGTGGCTATTAGGGTTACACCATGTAACTCATGACTTTCCATATTCCTCATGATCCATGGGTTTTAACCTCCATGGAGTATCCATGGGTTACCCTATGGGTTTAGCCCAACATGAAGAACTATGGATCATAAGCCCACATAGATAAGAATGAATGATTTACATAATCAATCCCCATATATTTAGTTAGTCTCTTTTGATCACAGAATTAAATCCAAATTAATTCTGGATCAATACTAATTAAATAATATGATTTCATATTAATATATTAGAACTTATAATATATTAATAAATCATAAATATCATTTTCTCACAAAAGTCTATCCAAATTGTTCCGATGCCATGCAACCCAAATGGACCATGACAAATCGGGTCAAGTACATACCAATTATAGTTATGGACTTAGACAGTAATCCAACAGTCTCCCACTTGGATAAGTCTAATAACTATTATTGCAAGTATGACTCTGCAACCTGACTAGCAATCGTAGCTTTTAAAAGCCACTGTCGAACTCTGAACAAATCAATGACGCGTCCATTAGATAAGGGATCATATATTCCTCCATTCTAGATATCATATGGACTGAGACATGGATTATAATCATTCTCTCTGTCCATCTGTTGTTTCCCGATTTTCGATTTATGATGACCAACTAATTGAACAAATCAAACCAGTCCAGGCCCGGCCGAGCACTTACGTTTGTCATCACTAAATCATCGAGGGGCCCAAAGATATCGCTTTTATCCCTCCAATGGTAAAAGGAATGGATAAACTTCGACCCAAATGTTCGCTTGTACTTACTCATCAAATTACACACAACGATATGTTTTATAACAACCAAGTTACTGGTTGCGTTTACATATGTCAATGTGCAACCGACGCGCAACTACAACTCACAAGTCTCCGTTTGAAGAATATAAGATATTATCGTCTCATGATCACTCGTGATAAAATCCATGAAGCGATTCAAATGAGCGTGGGTTTAATCCAACACTCGAATCTCATTCCAGGAGCACTCATGAATGTTGCAGCAACTTTTGCTATGTCTAAATACTTTAGACATCTACAAGCCGAATTCATGACAGTATTGATTCATACCTACTTCCAAAGTATGATTGATTGTGGAGAGTTTGAATAACCTAGTTATTCGGGAAGTCAAAACATGCAAAGTGAAACACAAGAATAATCGAATCCAATATGGTCTCAGAACTTATGAATATAAATAAAACACCTTTTATTTATCACCATATTGATTACACATTATTCATTGTATAATGTTTCGAATAATCAACTTAATACTTGAACTGAAACAATAGTCATGCCATGCTCCAAGCATGTACACTATGTTTTTCCAAACGATAGTTATGCCATACTCCAAGTATGCACACTACGTTTGTCTATGATCCTTACTTTGTGAAATAGATCAATTGAACATGAATCCAATGATGCTCAATTCATAATCCCAAATCCTTACCGCAAATGTAAGAATACAAGATTCTTTGCCATTTACTGAAATCTGTTAGATTCTAAACTTATATGCATTGATCCTCTTGTAATGACTATGCACAAAAGTCACAAAGACTTGGCAGCAGACATTTACAAAGTATTCCAATGGAAAGCAATTCCATGGAAACGAAGTCTCACATTCAAAGTACATTCCTTTGAACATCATTCTTGCATTAAGTTTCCTAATCTTATACAGATTTAAAGAATAACTTCCACTTTGTAACACCCATAATTTTTTTTTTCAAATTTAACTTTAAAACTCATTCCAAATTCATCAAAACATCACACACTGGTTTTCAAAATGTATAATATCAGAGTTTTCCCAGAAACATAAACAAAGCATGAGGAGCTGTACGATCACGCCTTCGCCTTGCCGCGATCCCCTGATGTACCTGAAACAATAAATTGAAACTGTAAGCCTGAGAGCTTAGTGAGTTCCCCCAAAATACCGATACACTGCACATAACACATATATAAACAGCAGCATGTTCTGGGTCCACGACTTTACAGACTGGATTACCTCCTGGGCCCACAGTATGAGTCTAGATTGCCTTACGGGCCCACAGCTCACATCTGGCTTGCCATCGAACCCACAGTACGAGTCTCCCTTAGCTCGTAACTGGAATGCTCTCGAGCCCATAGTACGAGTCTCCCTTAGCTCGCATCTGGAATGCTCCCGGGTTTGTTGGTTACCGCACGGAGCAGTATCACCTCAACCCATCCCACATAACATGTCCACATATAAACATAACCACTGTGCATGCAAATAATCATATAACAACGCCGGTAACTCTACAGATCTACCCAACCGGCATAACCACTAGCATGTAATCACTAATCCACACACAACATAATAACACTACTTGGATAACATATTCAATGGGTCGGCCTTGGTGCCTTAGACCCCTTAGTATAGTGAGGATAACTCACCTCGCAACTGTCGTCTGAAACTAGAATACTCAACTCCCGGATCACCACCACAAACTCCACCACCTATATCCGACACTTCACAAAGTTCATAGGTTCCCAAGATACTTCCAGAAGTCCAATAGTCAACCCTTGCCCAAGTCCACTTTCAAGGTCAACAGTCCATGTTGACCTCAACTCGTCAAGTACCCTTAGCTACTCGCCGAGTTCCTGGCATGACTCGCCCACTCGCGCGAGTCACTCGAGTGGCTCGTCGAGTTCCTAGTGTCAGTGGCCGTAACCCCTTGGCCAATCCGTCGAGTTTTCCCTTTACAACTCACCGAGTTCATACGTGTCCGAAGATTGGGAAAACCCTAACCGACTCGCCGAGTCATTCTACGGACTCGCCGGGTCTACGACAATCTTCAACGAACTCGCCGAGTTGTTCATCCAACTCGTCGAGTACAGGACCATCTTCATGTGGCTCGCCGAGTCCCTTCAGACCTTTATCCATACAGGTACTTTTTAAGCCATGCAACGGCTCCATATTGCAGATCCAAGCTTCTAAGGCATGTTTATCACGTAAAGTTGCAAACTTTACGTGCATGCAAGGCCCTAGAGACTCTAAATGACCAATCTAAGCTTCCAATGGAGCTTTACACCTTAGGAGAGTCTCATTCTTGCAAAAACTGGAAACTTTATGGACTTAGAGACCCAAGAGAGTTCAGATCTGAGGTTGCAACCTCAGATCTTAGCTCAAACACAAGAAAGGCTTCCTAATATGCTAGAAAAGCCCTAAAATTTACCCAAAAGGGATCTAGAAATGAAATGAGGTCAAGATAGAGATTTGATACCTTCCAGAAGATGCCAACCAAGAGAGATTTCAGATCCCACACGTTCCTTGCTTCTGGATACTTGCTCTCCAAGCTCTTTTCTCCAAAATCCTCTTCGAAAGCATAAGAATACACAAATGGGAGCACACTCACACGAATTAGGGTTTCTGGATTATCAAGAGGCTGTAAGGGGAGGCTGAGGAGGCCAATGATCCTTTAAATAGGGTGCAATACCCCGGGACTTAGTGTTTCATCTGCCGGCTCCTACTCGTCGAGTCCCTTCTTGGACTCGGCGAGTAGGTCACTAAAACACGCGGACCAACCCGTTGCTACTCGACGAGTGGGGCAGCCAACTCGTCGAGTAGACCTTGAAACCAAGAAATTCTTACATGAACCAATACCTGGGAATCGGGGCGTTACAATTCTTCCCCACTTGAACTAGACTTCGTCCTCAAAGTCTGCCGCGGCGAACAGCTCCGGATAGTGCTCCCGCATCTCTGCCTCTGGCTCCCACGTCGACTCGGACCCCCTACGATGCTCCCACTGTACCTTCACCAAAGGTATCTCCTTGTTCCTCAGAACTTTCGTCTTCCTCTGCAGTATGGCCACAGGCCTCTCCACATAATTCAGGCGTTTATCGACCTGAATATCATCCAGCGACACCACTGCCTCCTGATCCATAATGCACTTTCCCAACTGCAAAACGTGGAAAGTGCTGTGGATCCGACTAAGCTCCTCCGGTAGCTCTAGCCTGTAAGCCACCTTGCCAACCCTGGCAATGATCCTGAATGACCCAATGTAACAGGGACCCAATTTCCCCCTCTTCCTGAAGCGGATCACACCCTTCCAAGGTGAGACCTTCAGGAGAACCATATCACGCACCTGGAATTCTAACTCAGATCGACGTCTGTCGGCGTAACTCTTCTGCCGACTCTGAGCGGTCTGCAATCGCTGCCTAATCTGCTGAATCTTCTCAGTAGTCTGCAAGACTACTTCTGTCCGCCCCATCACCCTGTGTCCCACCTCACCCCAACAAACCGGGGTGCGACATCTCCGTCCATACAACAGCTCGAAAGGCGGGGCGGCAATGCTGGAATGATAGTTGTTGTTGTAGGCGAACTCCACAAGCGGTAGGTGGGAATCCCAACTCCCACCGAAGTCAATGACGCACGCCCTCAACATATCCTCGAGGGTTTGAATGGTCCGCTCGCTCTGACCGTCAGTTTGCGGATGGAATGCTGTGATAAAGTGCAACCGCGTGCCCAGTTCCTCGTGGAACTTCTACCAGAAATGGGAGGTAAACCTAACATCTCGGTCGGAGACAATGGAGACGAGAACCCCATGGCGAGACACGATCTTGCGAACGTACATGTCGGCCAACTTCTCGGCCGACGAACTCTCCCGAATAGCCAAGAAATGGGCACTCTTGGTCAATCGATCCACGATGACCCATATAGCATCAAATCCCTTCGCCGTCCTCGACAACTTGGTAATGAAATCCATCGTGATCTATTCCCATTTCCACATGGGAATCTCTAGAGGCTGCAGCTTACCATGCGGCCTCTGATGTTCGGCCTTGACCATCC